CACACACACACACACACACACACACACACACACACACACACACTTCATGAGAAGCTTCTGAGAGACCAGAAGAAGTGAAATCATCTGTAGAGGATAAGGGTGGCCCCAGATCATGTGAAAATGTTTTCAAAAATGATGAGACGGGGAAGTGTAACAAAGAAAAATAAACAGGACCCATCTAGAAAATTAGACAGTCTCCATTCCTCTCTGCAGGATGAGTCTGGACTAGAGACTGGCCCCTAAGAACTGAATTAGCCAACCCCTACTCCATTGTTAATTAACAAGGGAAGAGACGCCAAGGAAATGGAAATGTTTTTGGTAATATCTGCTAATCAGGACAGTAAACAGTCTCATGCAATTAATTTTAGCACTCAAAGAAGACATAGCTTTCCTAGATCTCCATGCTAAGGAAATGCGTCACGCCAATTAGTGGAGCAGAGAGAGAATATTGTTTAAATAGTGGGTCTAGCTGGGATAGGCTAGAAGGGGGACCAAGGGAACAAAATCTTTCTGTTAATGAATTAATGAAGAATTAGGAGTTCCCGTGAGTAACCTAAGAAGAGGAGGGTGAAAAGGTAGGAGCGAATGCACTAGGAGTGAGGAGGTAGGGCCTGGAGAAAGAATCCATCAGGATGCCAGGGAGTGGACAGGGGGCAGCCAGTGAGAAGTTCCAGGCTACGGCCAAACGTCTTTAAGAAACAGTGGTGGCCAGGACTCAGCTTTGAGATGGTTGTTGCAGTGTAATTTCTCCTGTCTTCCACTGTTAACATCAAAGCTACTGCAGGGAGGTGCCTTGGGTCTGTGGTATTTTGACAAAATAAAGGGAAAGGGGCAGTGTTCTGTCTTGGGAATGACGTGGGATAGAGAGAAATCAAGAATTCAGCAGAAGCAGAAAACAATAGGAAGACATTAGCTCCGAGAGTCCTAGAAGATGCCAGCAAGTGAGATGAGGTCTCCTGCTCTGTGTGGGATGGAGAGCTGGTTACCCAGCAGCTTCAAGGGCTTGGGAACATTTAGCTGACATTTGAACTCTGTGAGTCAAGTGGGCGTGTTTTTTATGCCACAAATTTACACTTGAAAGGGAATATAACTGTTTTCTAATTGTGTTTCAAGACTATATTCTGTGGGCTTGGAGAAACCTAATCTCACTGGATTGAGTATCACATCAATTTGGTCTCTCTCCGTCCTGGGATGCTTTAGACTCCTGGGGTTTGTGGGGGGCGGGGTTTACGTAGTGCCTCTGCACCCATCTATTCCTGCTGCCCTCTGAGCTCTCCAAGTGCCCCTCAGTCATCAGCCACACAGATGACACCTTCCTCCTTTTCAAAGATGCAGGGAAGAGTATCAAGTTCTGTTGGTTTCCAATCCCTTATCCCTCTTTCCATACAGGCAAACCGTGAGGGGTGGGACCTGCTCTAATTTTATTCTCTGATGTCTTAATTTTTTTAATTTTTTGTTTCTCTTATTACTGGCTGTGACAATCCTTCAGGCAATGCATGTCTACAATTAATCCGAATGGAAAATAAAATGTGTAAGAAAATGGTACAAACTAATACCTGCAAGTAGTGTTTGCTTTATATCCTTCCTTTCTTATTAGTTCAAAATATTCCTTGTAAAATAACCACCCTATAAAGCAGTGATGTTGCATTTTCTTCCACTGCTAATTTCTCCTTTGTTATCATTATCTAAGAACTTAAAATGGTCGGTACTTTACATCAGGGGTCAGCAAACGATGGCCGATGGGTTAAACTGAGCCTGCTGCCTATTCTAACATTTTTCAATGGTTGGAGATGATTACTATTTTGTGACATGTAAAAACGATATAAAATTTAAATGTGTCCAAATATAACACTTCCTTGAAACACAGCCATTACTTCAGGCCTGTATGCTTTCATTCTACAACCACAGTTGAGCAGTTGGGACAGGGACTGTATGGCTTGTACACAATACCGAAAATATTTAATAACTGACATTTTACAGGAAAAGTTGGCTGGCCCCTGCCTCACACAATTCTGTCGCACCTATTGTCAGGGCTTTACTTTTTTCCGTGTCTAGATTGGGCTGTCCATCCTGCCATCCAATATCCCCCAGTGTTTAACCTTGAAAATTACTTAGTAGTGTCCTGGTAAAGAAAGTGCATTCTAACCTCTCTTTCCTGGTTAGTCTGAGTTTACATGGTTTTTCCAGTTCTCCCGACCTTAGAATCTTAGGAGAATTGCAGTGCGGGAAGCCTTTTTATGGTAAAAGAGCAAGAAGTAGAGCATATAGGGCTGAGGCTTCCCTACATGATGCAGTGGGTTTGATATGGAGCAATGTGACCCCAATCGTGTGGACACCCCTTCACTCTCCCACGCTTATTTGCACGCATATGCCAAACCTCGGCGTCACCTCCTCGTTGATGTGAGAAAAGACACTTTGCAAGAGTTCATCTTTGATAGTCACTCCAGGTTATTCTCTTATAACTGTGGAAATCATTGAGTCTGTATTTCATAAAATTTTATTTTCAATAATAGGGTTTTTAAAATAAAAGCTGAGGATTAATTTTCATAACTTTCTAATATTTTTCATAAGAATGAGGAAACAAAATCTCTATCAGACCCTACTTCCATATTTTTAGAGCCTTCTTACCTAACTACCTGCTTTTTCTACTTAATTAACAAGCTACATATAATTATACTTAATACTTTTATGCTGCAGGGGAGGTGGGAGGCTTGGGAAAAGATAGATTATTTTCTTTGTATTTTGTATTGTTACCCACATCCCTCCGTTTAAACTGCCAACTTGGTATGTCCTGGGAAGCTAGCATTCCATACAGGACGACACGGTTACAGCTCTGAGAGGGTTTACAATGAGCAGAGATGCCGGGGTGAGAGCATCTAGACCCCAAGAATATATACAACAGAAAGCACAGGAGAAAGTATGTAGTAATGACAACTCTAAAGAAGCAAAACCACGTCACGTGGGTGAAATGCAAATATGGAAGAAAATGAGCCAGTTTTTAAAGAGAAGGGCAAATCGGGCACGAAGGACAGGCTGTGAGACGGTGTGAGCACTAATACTGTCTGTTGAGAGAAGCGACTAGGCATTTTGGAATCTAGTAATAAAAAGAGAAGTAGGTAGTAATGAGAGATGTCCTGGTAACTGGATGTGAGGAAAACACAGGGAAGTAAGCAGCACTGTGGAACATTACTTATGCATGTGGATTTGATATAATTTGTTGATATAATTATATATAGTAATTAATTCACTTGATTATAAGTTCAGGTTTTTGAGCAAAAGAGATACATAAGAAAAATCATAATTAATATGTTTTTTCAATACAAAGACTTGATCAGTGTTTCTTAATCGGGAGTGGTTTTGCCCTCACCCCCTCATGCTACCCGACTCTGACAATGTCAGTAGACGTTCCTGGTTGTCACAGCTAGGGAGGTGGGTGCCACACGCATCTAGCAGGAAGAGGCCAGGGATGCTGCTAAACATCCTGCATTGCACCGGGCAGCTCCCACAACAAAGAGCCAGCCAGCCCCAAATGTCAATTGTGCCAAGATGGAGAAATTCTGGGCTAGCTTAAGGCAGAGAGGAAAAGTGCTTAAAATCATGTAAAAGGTCTAAGAACTAGGTCAGAGGCCTCTAGTCCCTTGTTTGACATGATCAATCAAGGTACCCACAAAGCTAATATGAAGAGTAGGTAAAATCATAGTCATTTGTAGAAATAGTCCAAAATTGTACATTCTGCTCTTAATAAACTTTGTGCTTCCACCCATCAACATGGATGAATCTCAGGAACTTAATGTTGAATGTCAAAGCAAGTCAAGCAAGAACATAGTATGATAGCAGTATATAAAGTCTGAAAACAAGCAAAACTAAACAGTATGTTACTTAGGGATATATAGAGTTATATGAGGAAAATTAAGGAATGATAACACTCATTCAGGATATCACTTACGTCTGCAAAGAAGGAAAATAGATTTGGAGAAAAGCTCAGGAGGCCCTTAAATATAGATTATAACTTTTAGGGTAGGTAGTGGGATCTTTATTGTACTTTATAATTTACATAAATGTCATATATTCCCTTGGGTGTATCAAACATCACATAATAAAAACAATCGTAAAATTCATTTCTTATAGCAGTATGGTGGCCACTGAAGATTGTTCCCTTAAGTTCTATCACCACCTTCAGGTGAATACTAGATACTGCATAGAACTGTCTTCAAAAAACAAATGAACATCAAAATAAATGAACTCTGCCAAGCATTTGGGATATAAACAAGTACAAAAGGCTGGGCTTCCTCTCCAATAATACTTAAAATCCATTTGTAGATAAAGAACACACAGAACATACTAAGGAGATAAATAATATAGCATAAAATGTTATATTGTAAGGACCTCCTTGTCAGTTTCATACTCAATATTAAACAATAGAAACTGATCTAGTTTACCATCGGAGCCCAACTCCTTGACTTGGGTCTTCCTGCCACTATCTTAGGCCAGGCCTTAGTTACTTCATACCAGTTACCACTCGCTCTCCTTGTCTCCCTCTCTCTTCTGTTCTCCCTAGTTTGTTCTAAACATCGCCACCGGCCTTAAAATAACTACTTCATTATACCAGAAGCCACTCATGTTCTCCACCTACATTTCCACTGCACCAAATTTCACCCTATACAGAAATACTGGAACTATTATTATCTTTGAGGCAATATATGAATACTTTCTCTGAATTCCTAAAGCATTTACTGTTTGTATCATTTATTTACCATTTTCATATTCTGGTACTAAACTGATTCATTTACATAAGGTTTGTTTTCTAAGGTAGGTAAGTTTTTGGAAGTCTGGGATAATTTTGTAGTTTTAGGGGGTTTTCTTTCCTTTGTCCCCTAAGATCTGTAATGCCCATATTTGAGTTTGAGGACCCCATTTTAATGTAAAAATTTCTCAGACTCCTCTCTCATCAGACAAAAAGTATTTACATTTTTCAGGGTCCATAAATTTAAAAAAAAACAATGACTATATTGATTTCAGTAATGTTTTTTTTTTTTTTAAATATATCTTTATTGATTTCAGAGAGAGGAGGAGAGAGAGAAACATCAATGATGAGAGAGTCACTGATCGGCTGCAGCCCGCAACCCGGGCATGTGCCCTGACCGGGAATCGAACCCCGATCGCCTGGATCCTAGGTCGATGCTCAACCGCTGAGCCACGCCCAGCTGGGCTCAGTAATGCTTTTGAATCAACCTGAATTGTTAATGACATTAGTTTCTACATACTTAAAAATAATTGTGTGTGTGTGTGTGTGTATATATATATGTATGTATGTGTGTGTATATGTATGAGGGGGATCGAAGTTTTGCCACCCCAAAATATGCCTGTTAGGATTTTGATTTTAGGCTGGTTAAGAAAACAAGACTCAGAAAGAAATTTTGACCCTCCCCCTTACCTGCCTAAAGGAATTCAGGTAGAAAAACCTGCTTAAAACATAATATAATCTGAATGTGCCAGACCCAGAAATCTAGCAAAGCCTGTTTGTTGAACTTCCTTCTGTGTATCATTGTTTCTGAGGCCCAGCATGCATTTGTTTATCCCATGTTTGCTCTACCTACCTCTAAATTGCCAGCTTTCCCTTTGAAATCCCAGACCCCTGCCTCCCTCTCCTTTATCCAGAATGGCATAAGTTTCAACGGTCCAATGCCTCCTTAGATCTCATGCTCTTATGGCACCCCCTGCATGTGTATCTGTAATTAATTTTGAACATTTCTTCCTGTTAATTTGTCTCATGTTAATGTATTGCTGCAGTCAGAAGACCTCAGAAGGTAGGAGGAAAAATTTGTTTCTTGCAAAACAAAATGGTAATGGTGATAATCATGATAGTAATATTTTGAAATCTCATATGCTAGGATTTTTCCCCATGCATTTTCTTCTTTAATCCAAAAATCCCTCAAGTGAGTCAGGAGACCTCAGTTTAAACCTGGGTTCTGCCCCTTGGAATCAAGGGCTTTGGTGATTTATTTAACCTCTCATTTGTAAAATGAAACGAATGCAGAATCCATCCCTTCAGGATAGTTGCTAGAATTGAGAAAATCACAACAGAGGAGACGCTTAATTCTGTGCCCTGTACAAAATAAACACTACTCAACAACAAACAGACAAAACAACCCTCCAGCCCTGGGTCCCTGGGCTCGGTCTGAGCACCACAAGGTCTTGGATTCAATTCCCCTTCGAGGGCACGTCCCTGGGTTACAGGTTCCATCCCCCTGCCCAGGCAGGGTGTGTGTGCAGGAGGCAACCAACCAATGTCTCTCACGTGGGTATCTGTCAGTCTGTCTGTCTCCCTCCCTCCCTCGCTAAAAATCAATGAAAAGAGTATCCTTGGCTGAGGGTTAAAAAAAAAATCCCTCCAAGGCAGGCATTATTATTACCCCCCCCCC